ATTGAGGCCAAGATTCATCCTATTTTTCATGTTTCACAAATAAAAGAGCATGAGGGCTTGTGGCTCAATGCAGTTACATTTTCCTTTGGCAAATGGGAAAGGTTTCCTAGTCAAAGAACTAGTGGATGTTTTGGATAGAATGATGATAAAGAAAAAGGGTTATGCTGTCACAAAAGTTTTGGTGCACTAAAGTAATTCTTTTTCTAAAGATGCTACTTGGGAGATTTTATTTGATTTACAGAAGTGGTTTCCTTCATTCAATCTTTGAGGCCTAGGATTGCTTCAAGGGGAGGGCATTGTTATAAGTAAAAATGTTATAGTCAAAATAGTTAATTATTCTTATTTTTGTTATTTCTATTATAGTCGGTTATTTCTGCTATTTTTGTTATTTCTGTTACAGAATCGGTTATACAATCGCTATTGGCATGTTAAAAGGGGTTGCATGTGATTTTGGAAATCATTAGGAACATTTCTAAGTATTCTAAAATATTCTCTCTCACATCCTTTAAACATTTATTCTTTCTTTATAACTTCTCATTTCTAGGTTTTCATTTACAATATCTATTACCAATCAATCTTGATACTAATGACATCAAAATGATACAAAAAATATATGAAGCATCAAAACTATACAAAAAACATATAAAGCAACAATTTAAAATTTTAATAAAAAATTCATATAGGTTTGGAAAAAGTAAAAAAAAAATTATATTTTGTGTTTGTGTGACATGAATTATAATATGATAATTTTCGTATTTTACACATATTAGATATGAAATAGACATAGAATACATGAATTATAAGTTAATATTGGAAATAGCTATAAGAACTAGAATAAATTGGTCAAATAAATAATGTAGATTCAAAGTATGCTAAAAGATCATTAGTACCTAATGGGTACATCATTGTCAAAGTTTGCTGCCACCAAATCCCCTAGTGTCATATACTTCTAAAGAACCCATTTCACAATTTTACAATTCTTTTTGTCAATCTTAAGCTCTATTAGGTATAGTAATGCCCTTGCAACAATTAATGTACTTAGCACAACCAAAGAATTGCAAAACACCTTACTATTGCAATTGTAAAAACATAATAGCCATAACCTACAATCATCACAAATGTAACATATAGATAAAAACTATTAACCTAATCCAAGTTTTCTAGAAAATGAACTACTATTCTCTTTATAACGATGCAACCAATGATGACTACCAAAGCCAAGCATATTTTCATTTTTATTCTCACCCTTTCTTTTGTTTTGTCTATCATATATGTCTAAACCATTGTGTTGAACCGATTCTCATACACTGTGCACAAAAAAAAATCGCCTCTTATCTATCACAAATGTAACCTACCCATTAAGCAAAATATCAATGAATCTGAAATCGATTCATATAAAGAAATAGGTGAAAAGCTTGGTAAATGTTTTGTTTGGAATAATATCCTCATAGCCAATTATGAAGGCATCTAAGGGCTTGAAAGTCTCAGTGCCCTTAAAACTTCCACTGGTCAGGTGTATTAAGATGCTAGTTAATAGGTACAAAACCAACCAAATGAAAGCTTGGCAGATGAGGGAAATAATTGATTTTGACTTCAATTTTTTGTCGTCAGAACATTGAAAAGCTTCCCTAACAATAGTGAAAATTGATGGAGCAAAATGTGAGCAATGAGTGATTTTTCAGTTGATGTACAAGTTGGCAATGAGGTTAACATTAGAGGATGAATCCTATGTTATGATGATAGGGATAATGTTTTGCATTGTTGATGCAACGAATCAATATTATTGTTGGGTTACGTATGTTATGAGGGGTATTGTTTGCTTTAGGAGTTCGAAAACATACTTTTACAGTTTTATCATTTGTGTTGATGGTGTTTTAGAAATGAGTGAGCTGAGTAATGGTTTAGGAATTGTGTTGGGAACGACTTGTACCTGCAACAAGAAAGTATGGTCAAAGGGTGCAATAGTCAATTTTTTGAAATACGTTTTGACACTTAAATTAATCAAATATTTGAGATTTGTGGAGAAAGAAGGTGAGTTGTAGAATTGCTTAAAAAGCTTAAAGTATAAAGGTTTAGAGTTACTGTACCATATCTAAATTTCCTTTTTATTTTATATATGAGATAAAAATCGGTAATATGATTAGGATTATTGACAGTTAATGATAAATTCATATAATGCTCAAGGAAAAGTCACGTGGTGAATGAAGATTACATTTACTTATCTCAAACAAACATGAATTGTATTTAATAATTTTAAGCAAATTAAAAATCAATTGATCTATTATAAAATGATGTCTTGATGGAAATTTAGTGATGATAATTAGGTGATCCTATCCATAAATGAAGGTGAGCTTATATTATGACAAGATATTTGATATCAATAATGGCATAACAATCGAAAGCATACTAATTTGGCGAGCGTGGAAGGTCCTCTTTAATAATAACATGACAATTAGATGCATTCTAACTTAATGATTATAAAAATTGACTTTATTAACTGAATGAATGAATATAATTTTTAAAAATACTTCAATGGAAGAAAAATAACTCTACTTATAAAATTACAATCCAATCATTTACTTCTTCACTATTAGATACGAGAGAGAGACTACCTCAATATGCGCAATCCTGATAATATAGGACAAAAGGAAATGCATGGCAAGTACAATGCCACCAGTCATTGCCACTGCACTGAAAAGATGTTATCTCACAATGGAGAAAGTTGAATCTTTTTTCAATACATAAAAAAATGTACAAAAAAAGGTGTGGTTTAATATTTTATTTTTTATTTTTATTTCTATATATAATAATAAATATATTCCTTTTACGTTAATTAAAGCAGCTCTTGAGCTAATAATCTTCCATATGACTTCCACAAACTACTTTACCTTGTTATAAAAAAAAAATGATACAATGTAATTTAGATTGAACTATTAAGATCCAATCAAATAAAGAACTAAATAACACAGTTATTGCAACCATCAGTTTATTTTTCTAAGATGAGCTAAAAGATATCATAACTAAATTTTTAAGTAAGGATAGAGTTTGCAAGAAATGGAAGTAAAACAAAAAAAACAAGTTGTACTTCAACAGACTAAGCAAACTGTTAAAACTAAAAAAGTCCAATACAAATTTTAATTACTTTTTATGGAAAATCATGATTTTTTCCAAGTTTTTCTTGCCTTATTTTTTTCATATGTTTGTAACCCTAAACCGAAACCGTTAACACTCTTTTTGGGTAAATAAATAAAATTTTCAAATAATTAAAGAGTTTGGAGAAAAATCCTAAAATATAAAATGTTTTCAAAATTACACTTTCCATATGTCCAATTCCACTCTTAACCATGCGCAGACTCAAGCCAATCAGCCAACATGACACCTTTTTAAGTTTTGTATACGATTAATGTCATGATTTTTAGAGTATAATAAAATTTTTAATATAACGTTTAAATTTTAAAAATTTTTAAATTAATATTTGAATTATAAATTTATTAATTAATGTAGTTGTTAAAAATTTGTTTGTTCATCATATATTATCATTTAAAATTAGTTTCATTAGGGATAAATATTATATCAATTAATAGATTTATGGTTCATATATTATATTAAAATTTTTAAAATTTAAATATCATGTTAAATATTTTATTATAATTTAAGAGTCAATTATGATATTAACCTATTTACAAAAAATTTAAAAAAATTTTAAAAACAAAATACATCTCGTTTCATTCTCCCAAACCAATATCGCAATAAAATACAAAAATAAATTAAAAACAAAGTTACGATTAATTGAATTTTTTTGTAAAAAAAAATCACAATTATTATGAAATGTTTGGTTAAGAGAAAATAAGATTCTTGATCAAAATTTTACTTTTCATAATTTGATTAATTAATTTGGTTTACGGAATGTGATTTCTGATTTTTTAAGATTTTTAATAGTGACAAACAAGATAAAATAGGAAAACCAAAATTATCTTTTCTTGAGTATTTTTAGATTTCACAAAGAAAATGAAAATTTTACCTCATTTATCTTCACTTAATTGTATTTTTAAATTATATTATCCTTTATAGTCTCTTTAAATTACAAAATAAATGTAGTTTTTGTTATTTATAATTTTAAAAAGTATTATGTTTTAATATAAAAAATATAGTGTATATTGAAATTATATTTTCAAAATTATAAAATTTTAATAAAAATCACGTTTTTAAGATAAAACATATTGTGGATGTTAAAATTTTATTTTCAAAATTATAAAATATTAATAAAGATTACGTTTTTAAGATAAAAAATTGTAGTGGATATTAAATAAAAATCGAATTTTAAAGATAAAACATAATGGATATTGAAATTATATTTTTAAAATTTTGAGATTTTAACAAAGGCTATATTTTTATAAAAAAAAATAGTAGATGTTAAAATTATATTTTCAAAATTATAAAATTATAACAAAAATTATTTTTTTAAGATAAAAATATAATTTTTGTTACTATTTATAACAAGATTAAAATAAAACGTAAAATATTTTTACTTAATAATATTACATATAAAATATTCATATATATATAATTTTTTTTACGTAGGGACACTCTGCATAAAGATAATAATTAGGATTTGAAAATTATTTTTGTTAAAAATATGAAAAAAATTAAAATTCTTTAATTTAAATAAAAACAATATATTATTCACACAAAAATATATTATGAATATCATATATTATTCTCATGTAATTAAAAATAATAATTAAAAAATTTTAAATAATCTTACATTCTTTTAAATATATATAAAAATTTTATGATTATTAAATCTATAAAATTTAAAAAACACATATTTTTCTTTAAAAATCCATAAAAATTTAAAAATATACTTTCCAAACGACACGTGGTTTTCTAATCTCCCGTTCCCCCCAAACCCCTCAAGCCCTCAATAATCCCTGACCGTCCATTAAAAATCGTAAAATTTCTAATCGGTGGGCCAACAGGGTTGGCAGATGATCTATCAGGAATGGACGGTGATAAAGCCGGCTGTGATGGAAATCGGCTGTGATGTACTACTTTCCTTACTTTCCTTTCCTTCCGCTCTCCTTGATCCAAACATTATGTTACTTGCCACACAAAATCAGTCCAAAAGGCAAAGAAAAGAAAAGAAAAATAGAAAGAAAACTGCACGTTACCTCACTATATAAACAGAACCAAAACTCCCAAAACAAAAAGGAAAAGATAGAAACAAGAGAGAATTTTCGTTTCTTTATTTATTTGTTTGTTTGTTTTATCCGATAAGGCGCATATAGAGCGAGGGAGCAATGGGGAGTGATAGCAAGACCAATGGTAGTAGCGGCGGCGATGGTGGCGGAGGACAGATACCGGTGTCGGTGAAGAAAGTGTTGCAGAACCTTAAAGAGATTGTTAATAATAACTTTACGGACTTGGAGATCTACGCCGTCCTTAGAGACTGTAATATGGACCCTAACGACGCCGTTCAACGCCTCCTCTCTCAAGGTTTTTCCCTCCCTTTTTCTTTTTTCTTTTCTTTTTTTAAAAATAATAAAAATAATTGTTTGTCTGTTTTTGCTTTTGTTTTGTTTACCTTTACCAATACTTTTGTGTTTGGTTGCTCAGAAAACTGAAAACAAATTTAATGTAAAAAGTTATTGCTTTTTTCCCCTAGTATGTTTCCTTGTAATATTTTAAGGGGCAAGGGATTTTTTTAATCTTTTAACAATTTGTTAGAACTTGTTGAAGTTATAAACTTTTGTTTTGTTTTCTTTTCCTTTTCCCAAATGCCTGCGTTTCTCTTCCAAAATTTGTTTTTTTTTTTTATTTTTTTATTTCTTTTCCAAAGAATAGCTTATAACTTTAAAATTAATAATTTTGCAAAAACAAGCTTCAATTTTGCCAAAAAAAAAAACACACTGGAAATTTCAGTGGTCTTAAACAGGATAAAATAGTTGTTCTTTGATGGCGAGTGGTTTAATTATTATTTATCTTTCTGCTGCATGATTCTTTCTTAGTTGCCAAACAACTGAGAATATATTAACTGAAATTAATGGAAGTTTTAAATTCTAGTGAGTTGTGTGATTCAATGCTCTTTCAACTTTGATGGAAGAACAATGTCAAATAAAGCATTCAAAAATTTTGGTTCTGTATTTAAAATTTATAGGAGATATTTAGTAAATTAATATTTTTCAATTTTGTAGATACTTTTCATGAGGTGAAAAGCAGACGTGAAAGAAGAAAAGAGGTATTATTCTTTTGAAAAATATGCTTAGGCTTTTTCTCCCTTGTTGATTTTATTTTTTTTCCTATTTTTTACTTTAAAATTTGATTTTGTTGTCTCTTGATATGTCAGATGAAAGAGACACAAGAACTAAAAGCTCGAGCTAACAATGGTACGTCTAATCATGGTGTTAGAGGTGGTGGTGAACATTCTTTTGGGCGGAGTGGATCAGTGCAAATCAGCTCCAATGGTATGGTCTTTGGAGCATGTACGCATTGGTGACCCTAGTGTAAAATTTTGTTTTTCTGGTATTCTTAATATGACGTTCTGTTCCTTGATGCAGAGCTTGGTAAAGCTGCATACAGGAAAGAGAATGGCACATTTGCTTCTATTCCCTATTCTGCTTCTTCAACATTTTGTGAAACCAGACAAACCTGGAATGAGCAATCTTCCTCTCGAAGGTTGGTTCTATAATGAAGCAAATTGTTGCCTTCTCTATCATGTGTCTTTGTTCAATTCTCAAGTCTAAACAGAATCTAATTTGGTCTAGCTTATTGATATTGTTATGTGGACAACCTTTTTAATTCTCTTTCATCATATATACTTTTAATATGTGCTTGGCACTCATCTGTAGAATCTGCAACATAATAAATTATTTATCTTTTTTTTTTTTATGCTTTTCTCATTTAAAGAATGGATGCTGTGATATGTTTAACCTTGTTTTGTTTGCTGCTTGATGAAATATTTACTCGTTCATTTTGAGCATTCTTCTGCAGCAATTCTTTTAATGCTGATAATAGAAGACAATCAATAGGAACACGTGATATGATTGATTCATCTTTGCAACCATCTCCTGGATCACAATCTACTTGGGTGGGGGCCACCTTGGAACACGTTACTATGGCTGATATCGTAAGAATGGGTAGGCCACATAGCAAAGGCTCACAAATGCTTTGTGAAACATCTTTTACCGCTCAAGATGCTGTTCCACCAAACTCAGCCATCTACCAAATGAAACCTTCCCTTGCCAATTCACCTTCAGAGTTGGGAACACACCTAGATTTGCATTCTTCAGATTTGAACATGACTAGTGAATCTGGGAAGAAATTTAGTCAGCATGATTTAGATGATGAATGGCCTGTGAATGAGCCAATAACAGGTTCGAGTGACATTGGTGCTAAAATGTATTCTAATCCATCTTACTCACATAGTAACAGAGCTAACTTGTCAAGTAACTGCTGGGCAGACAATATTCTAGTATCAGAGAGCAATGTTGCTGGGGAGAATCTTAGTTCTGAATCTTCTGATCATGTCAGCTCTGCTCAAGCATCTAATAAAAAAATACTTATGAATCATTCTGGAGGAACATTTGAACATGATGATGACCTGTGTAAGGATACAGGTTCATGTGATTCCTATCGGCAAATCTATAATCACCAGGGAGGTAAACTTTCAGGTTTTGATTTTGACTTTATAGGATTTTCTATTTTCTTTATCTGATTTTCAATTAAATTAATTGCTGATTTTTGTTCTATAAAGTGCATGGGATGTTATAAAATAACCATGGATTCTGCTAGTGCTGATGCGGTGTTTGTACTTTGATGATAATGTCTATTGTGGTCTCAATAGAGTGAAGAACTTGGATCTTTTTACAAAATTTCTCCAAGAATTTCTTTTGCTTTATATTGCAACAGTTATTATGTATGCTATCATTTTGTTCTCCATTTTCTGAATGTTTTTGCAGGTCCATTTTAAAATTTTTACTGGCTAGTGAATCATTGGTGGTATTATTATTATTATTATTATTATTATTAAAATTTAATCCTTTCTGATTAAAAACAACTGTCTGGTTATATGCTCTGTGCTGTAAATTAACGTTATGGTCCTAAGCCTGTAAAATCATATGTAGAGCTTTGTCATAGATACAGGACAAAGGAAGTGTTAAGTTGTTAAGTTACATTCTTGTTTAATCCTTTGTAGAAGAAAAATGTGCAACATGGAGCAGTTTTTTTGTTTTAGTATGTCATCTGCCTCTGATTTTTGAAAGTATTAAAAAAGGATTGGGAAGAGAGAGGAAAACAAAGCTCCTCGTATTCTCTGTCATATATTTAGAGACCAAAAACTGTTATCAATAATAGAACATTACAGACTTGTTTATTCTGTACTTCTTTTTGTGTTATTTGAATGGTGTAAAGAGAAGTGCCCATTTGAAAGTTGCCACAGTTGGTGCAATTTAGGTGCAACACCTCTCTCTCTCTCTCTCTCTCTCTCTATATATATATATATATATATATATATATATATATATTCTTCTGTATTTTCCATCTGTATGCTAGATTGTTGGTTCATGGGTTTAGATTCTGTGCATTTTAGCCTAAATGCTTATGGGCAATTGGTTATTCTGTGTTTATTGAATTCATGTAATGCAGCTAGAATTTAATGTTGAATATGTGTTGTGGTCTTTATTTTTCACCCTCTGGTATCCAATCTCAGGAATAGGCAGAGGTTCTAATATATCTGTTCCAAATCCTACTGCATCTTTGTCTGATGATGCCATCAAAGCTGTATCATCAGCTATGATGAACTTACAACAGCTAAATTTAGGGAAGGAAGAGCAGGCAGTGACTCATGCAGAGACTCCAGTGGAGGATAACCATGGACTGGTGCTTCCAAATTATTTACAAGCCTTTTCTGCTGACTGCTCACATTTGAGCTTTGGTACCTACAAATCTGGCAAGAGTACAGCATTGTCCCAGCCACAAGCATCCAGTTCCTTGACAAATGACTTGGAAGGGACGTTGACAACATCAAATGATCCATCCTCTATGCATTTAAACTCTAGGTATGCATCTAAGAGATTATTTCCAGTTTTGGCTCCCTTGTTCATATTAGTTCATGATATTTGGATGTCTTTCTTTACAGGAACTTGGTATATCATGATGAGGAGCAGCTTGAATTTGATATTGATACTACTAGAGCAACTGCAAATGCTAGGAAATATAATTCACCCAAATTTTCGCAGGCAGAGCTTAGGAAACTAGACATTCCTGATGAAGCAACCCATGGGAATGATTACGTCTCCCATTTGTCAATACCTGGTTCTAGTTTCAAGAACATCCAACAATTAAGTTCTGCTTTGTCTTATGTGAATGACCCAAATGCTAGGAAGCTTCCTACTTTGCCAAGTGAAGTGGTAAACAGTGTTTTCCCTCTCTCGTTGCATTTTATGATACCCTGGCAGCTCCTAATCTCACTTTGCTCCTATGATACTTTTTGGCTTTTATGAAAAAAGAATACTGAATTATTTGATGGTGCATGCTGTTATAAAATAGTATTAGCTACATTTCATGAAGATGCAATGCTTGAGAGCTATTCTCTTTCATTTATTAAAATGTTTATAGGATTTTATTATGTTTATGGATTACCTAATAATTCTTGTCATCAGCTACCCTTCTTAATTAATATTGATTACCTGGCCAATACGCAGCATGTCCTTTTCACTTTTATCCCTATGTCATTCGTACAACAGCTTTTTTCTTCTTGGTGTTTGTTTATGAAGATATGTTGTCTATACTTGCTTGTGCAATCACTTGTTTCTTTATTTCTGATTTCGGTTTCTCTTAAACTTTGCACTGATCTTATGAATTTTGGGTGCTAGGAATCATATCCAAACTCTATACCTAGTGATTTATTGACAGCAACTATTCAGTCTATGAAAGCTAGAGATTCTGCAGCATTGCTTGCATCACATTCAATTTCAATCCAGCAGTTCTGCATCTTCCATTAAGAACCCAAATGCATCCATGTCTGAGGTATGAAATCAAGAATCTGTTATCCTTGATGGCTAAAAAATTTGTGACTTGGATAAAGGAGATATTTTTAGTGACTATTGTCATTTGAATGATGGTTGCATCAGACCACCCCTATTTTGAACTGCATGTTTGGAAGACAGACAGCCTTTCTTATTTTTGGAAAGATCTATCGTAGACTTTTTGACCGTTTTGTTGCTTTTTAAGCGGGTAGATGAAAGTTATCGATTTTTTCTTGTTGTAGGAAAGTACTAAATCTGAGTACTATTACTACTGGCTGTACAATCTTAGAATATTCTTGCTCTAGATCTAACTCTATTGGGTTGATTTTCTTAAATGTTTTATTGACTTAAATCTTACAAATGAAGGCTCTTTATATCACTTATTGACCATATTATTCTTTTGCATGAATTCCTGGGTCTTTTTATGTAAATTGGTGTCAAGTTTCAGATAAATTACCGGTTGTCTTTTCCATTATTAGATAGCCAATGCATATTTAAACTATGTCATTATGTCAAATATGTGGGGAATCTGGCATTGCATTCCCGTTAAACTAGGATTTGAGTGTCCTATGCTAATTATATGGACGTAACAATTAAATTTTTTTAACTGGTCTGTTAATTCAGGTTTTAAATTCTGGAGCCTTTTCTGTATCCGACCCATCCTCACAAGCCCTGCACGATGCCAACATCGCCACTGGTTCTGTACTTACGGAGCATTTGTCAGCACATTCTTATTCTCTAACTGGCTACCCTGCCATATCTCAAGGACATACATATGCAGCATCTGCTTTGCAACAAGCATATCCAGATGGCAATTTGCTCCATGAATCTCATACAGGGATGAAATACAATGTCCCGAACTACAGAAGTGCTAGTATGAATAACTTGCCTTTGTCAAGTTCTTACACATCTGGTTATCAAAGTTGGGGGAATTTTGCTGATATCCCTGGAAGTTTTCTGCTCAATCTAGCTGCTGGTCCAGCAGGCAGCAAAGTTGGTTATGATGACTTTTTACGCTCAGAGTATAGGGATGGAGGAGGAACTAATTTCAACTTACTTCAACAGGTAATAACAATAAGCATATTCCATGGTAAGATGCGCATAATGTAATGTTCAGTGCATGGACAATATAACTGTTTCATCTCATTTTTTTATATCTTTTGTTTTACCAGAATGATGGCTCTGCTACATGGGATTATGGACATGGTTCAAGAACCTTATCAACTATTTCTAATGGTGCTTATTACAGTTTACAAGGGCAGAATCACCAGCTTGCTGATTATCACCAGGGCCAGCAACACGCACGGCTTCATGAACCTTTGGAATATCCTGGTGTTTATAATCATCAAGCAGGGATCACAATAGAACAGCAGCAGCAGAAAAATCTTCGTGATATGATTAAATGGTTCTCAAGGCCCGTCATCTAAGCAACTCCCCATATTTGGCAGCACAGCTACTAACATCCTTTTGTTTTTCTTTTTGTTTTGCCTTGTTAGCAAGGCATTATTAAAGCGGCCGAGTAGGATGATAGTAGAGTTCAAAGATGTCGTTGTTTTTTGAGTGCTTTGGCGATGTCCAATTGTACATACGTGAAAAGAGAAGCTGACCGGCAACGGCTTCTGCCCCAACATTGTATACTATCTAATTTCATGTTGGGGTATGGCTGCTTTGCTTGGCAAGCCAGCGTGCTAATGTGATTCTTTTGTTTTGGTGGTGCGATTCATATATAGCTCTTTTAGGAATGATCTTTCATGTGCAGCTCGTGGATTATTTATTGCTTGGATTAGTTAAATTTGCCGTCTTTTTTTCTTTTGTTTTCTTTTATCTCCAGTGTGTTTTGAATATTTGTTTTTGCATAAGCAGAAGTTTCAATGAGGGTGTTTGTTGGGAAAGGCAATCAACATGATTGAAGGGTCAGTTGGAGGTAGGCAGTTAGAATACATGGTTGGTATCACTTAACCATCTCCTAACCTTCAATCATTCTTTCGGGTTTTCACAATAAAATTATCAAACGAAACTACTACTTAAGCTGGCGGCAAACGGCAGTTTCTGCAAATCTCTATCCATTAGGAATTCTGAGTGCGCGTGAATGGGGCAAGGCACAGATTTGAGAGTAACCATGGATCAAAACCAAAAACAAGACAAGGGGAATCTCCATAGACCAGGCATTGATGCAATGCTAATGGCTCCCAAAATGCCAAAGGCAGTGACACCAATCTCTGCAGTTGAGGGTGACAACATTAGGCGGCCTCGAGGGAGGCCAGCAGGCTCCAAAAACAAGCCTAAGCCACCCATCATTGTCACTCGTGACAGTGCTAATGCATTAAGAGCTCATGCAATGGAGGTGAGCACAGGCTGTGATGTAAATGAGAGTCTAGTTAATTTTGCAAGGAGAAAGCAGCGTGGCATTTGTGTACTTAGTGGGAGCGGGTGTGTAACCAATGTCACACTCAGACAACCAGCCTCGTCTGGTGCAATTGTTACTCTGCATGGCCGGTATGAGATTCTCTCCTTGCTTGGATCAATCCTGCCCCCACCAGCCCCACCTGGGATTACAGGGCTAACCATTTACCTGGCTGGGGCTCAGGGGCAGGTAGTGGGTGGAGGAGTAGTTGGTGCACTCATTGCTTCTGGTCCTGTTCTGATCATGGCCGCATCCTTCATGAATGCCACCTTTGATCGTCTACCATTAGATGATGATGAAGTTGCTGCAGCTAGGCAGAATCAATATCACCAGAATGGTCGGCACCATCACCTGGACATTTCTGATTTGCATGGGATGCCACAGAACTTGATTACCAATGGCACTACCCCTCCTGAGATATACTCTTGGACTCCTGGACGAACTATGTCAAACACCTAACCTGCTTAGCAAGCATTCCTTTGGAGATTCTCACATCCTCCAAATATCATCATCTAGTGCTATTATTTATTAAGCTTTCTCATAGCAGTATCTTCACAGCCTTAGTTGCAGATCCATATGGAAATTAGTGCATCTTTTCTCTCTAGCATTCATCAGCCAAGCATATCTTGTTTGAATGCAAGTGTGATTTTAAATACAATGGATCTCCATCACATAGTTTCTGAAGTATCAGCAGGTACCATGCACATAAATACCGATAGGCTTAAGATATATGCAAAAATATATAGTATCATTGCTAATTTTTTATCCCAAATATAGACATAATACCAAAAGAAAGATCGGTAAATGTGGAACGATGAATTAATTTAAAAAAAGAGCTCATTTCTGATAGGAATCAACAATTTGTAATCCATAAAAAGGCTGCCAACAAGGTATGACTTAATAATCCTAAGTTTCAATCTCATTCATTCTACTGTAACATGAGTTTCAAGTCATTCAATACAGAGTATATCTCCTTTGCTTGAGGGTGCAGCCTTCCACCAGAAACAAACTCATGGACTTCACCATTTACTTCAATCAGACTACACCCTGGTTCTTTCTCTAATTGTTTCTCTTTCATTGAAAGCCTTTGCTTGATTGCTTCCTCAAATTGCCTAGTTGCGGCATAAACATTAGACATAAGTACATATCCAGAGCTTTCAGCTGGATCAAGTTCAATAACATGCTTTGCTGCCCTTTTTGCCATCTCAACATTTCCATGCTTCCTGCATGCAGAGAGCAAAGACCCCCATATAATGGCATCTTCTTTAATGGGCATACTTCTTATTAGCTGTTCTGCCTCTTCAAGGAGTCCAGCATTACCTAGCACATCAACCATGCAACTATAGTGCTTAATGGTTGGTTTGATTTGGTATTTTTCTGCCATCAATGAGAAATAATCTTTTGCTTTATCCACCATCCCCGCATGATTACAAGCCATTAGGACACCAATGAAACTGACGTTGTCTGGTTTGAGACTCAAAGACTCTAGCTTAGAAAACAATTGAATTGCTTCTTCTTCACATCCATTGGTAGCTAGGCCTAAGATCATGGCGTTCCAACATGATAACCTTTCCTTGGGAGATGTTCTAAAAACTTTTAGAGCCTCTTCAACATTGCCACACTTGCAATACATGTCTATAATTGCAGTAACAACAAAGCCATTCAACTCAAAATTATGATTTAGTACATAATCATGAATCCATTTTCCTTGTGTAATTGCTCCCAAGCAAGCACAAGCATTCAGCAAGCTGACCATTGTAAATTCACTAGGCCGAACATCATCCTCTTGCATTTCTTGAAAAAGCTCCAATGCTTCCAAAAACTTACCATTCCTAACATAACCACTAATCATAGTATTCCATGAAACAGTATTTCTCGACACCATTTTATTAAACAGTCTCCTAGACTCATCAATCTCTCCACATTTTGCAAGCCCTAAAACCATGGAATTCCACGCAACAATGTCAAGTTCCAATTCTTCATCAAACATTCGCCAAGCTTCACTCAGAAGGCTACAATTTGCATACATGTAAATGATAGTGTTTCGTATAAATAAATCACAGTCAAGGCCCAGTTTTATAACTCTCCCATGAAGCTGTTTCCCATCACAGGCTAGACCAAGTTGAGCATAGGCCTTAAACACTGAAGGATAAGTTAGCCTTCCTGGTTGTACAGAGGAATCTACTAACATGTAAATGAGAAGAGAGATTGCAATTTCTGGATTAGAGCTTTGGGAGAAGCCTCTAATGATAGTATTCCAAGTGAAGAGATTTGGATTTTTTATTCGAGAAAAGACCAAGTAAGCATAGTTAATGTCACCTGCTGGAGATGAAGAGAAGGCCAGGACACGGCTAGCTGCTATGATGTCATTGACAAGACCAGTTTTGATAAGTTGGGCATGAAGTTTTTTGAGGTCTTTCATGGTGGTGCAGTTGTTTTCTAGTAGAGAGAGGTGTGGTTGATCTGATATAAATTTGGTTATGGAGGCTGGAGTGGGTTGTAGGGAGCAAAAACACTGTAGCATCACTTTCTCTGCTTTTTTTTTTTTTTTGGTGGTTTTAGAATGTTATCCACTTTTAATAAAGGACGGCCGAAACCGGAGAGTTTATAAATTTAGAAGCGTTGATGAGTAAAGCTGGGCCGACTTTGTAAAAATCCAACAAGCTCCAGCGTGACATTGCCCACTGATTTACATAAATTTTATACTACTATTGTTAACTATATTTTAAAATTAAATTTTAAATAAAATATATTATTTATTGATTAAAAAAAACTCTAATATTGGTTAACCTTAGTCTTACCCATGAGTTGAGCAACTTATTTGATTCGTGAATTTTGACTCAAAATATAATTTTATATATATAAAAAATTATTTTTTATTTAATTTTAATTTCAAAATAAAAATAAATGTTTAATACTAATAATATTCTAAATAATATCGACTTTAAGTGAACATTTAAGGGTAGGCGTCGGGTTATTATCGAACTAGTTAGGACTTCAGAACTAAGCTGGTAGCCAGGCTCTTAAACACCTTTAGGTAGCAGAGTGTTGAACTAATAACGAGTAAAGAAGAATACTTCGTGTAAAGAACAAAGGCAAATGAAAACAACAAAACAAACTCAAGAAACAAAACAGTATCCTCCAGCCAAAACAAAGAATTAGAATTATAATGACAAATATTGATGAAATTGAATTTGGTTGCAAAGCGAATTCCACCAACCTCCACTTGGCATGATAAATTCAACGCAAGCAATGGTTAGCTAAAAGTATATAAGATATTTAGGGGCAGTTTAACATTAATTGCTATTATAATTGAAAAAATTTTGAGTTCAAGGAACTGTAATAAAAAAACGTGATTAAAAATTTTAAGCGAGCATTTGGTATAGAACTTGTTTAAAAATTATAGTCATTTGTATTTAGTAATTACATCATTTTATTTAATAGTAATTTAAAAATTTTATATTACAGTGAAAAATAAAAAAATTTTATCATTATGAAAAAATAATTTTTAATATTATTTTTTGACTAATTTATCTTTACAAAAAATATAGTTAATATTACCCAAAAAAACTAATTACTAAAAATTTTAAAATTTTGATTTTTTAATCACTTATTCTAAAAAGATTTTATATTATAAATTTATATTTATTAGAAAATTTATAATGAATTTATTTAATAATTTTTTTGGAAATTATTTTTATCAAAATTTATTTATACTTTGTAGTTTTTTATAAAATAATATTTAATTATGTTATAAATTGTTAATTTAATAAGTATTAAATATTTTACTTTTTTACAAGGTTATTTAAGATATTTTATATTATTTAATTTTATTTTTTCATATACTCTCAAATACTTAGATTTAAAAATACTAGTAATTTATAATATTATATCAAACATAATAATTTAAGATCATTAATAATCAAATTATCTTAAGTGATTTTATCATCATAATAATTAGATTACCCCGAATATCTTGAAAAAGATATTAAACTTTACCTAAATATTTAATATTATTGTGAAAAATATTATAAGTAATTGAAATGTCTAAAAAATATATATAATAATAAAATATTAAAAATATAAAGTAATTAGTGATCGTTTATTCCAAAAGCATTTTTCACTGCAAAATTTTTTAAATTAAAAAATTAATTTTTTTATTATTTAGCATTGAAATTAAATTAAAAGCAACTTTTAAACATAAAATATTATTCGCAACATCAAAACTAAACTACAACTTAACTTCAATATCTCTCCAACTTTCGTTGTGCCAATCTCTTCCACAGCGTTTGTATATCCGTAAGACACATAGCCCCCATAAAAAGTTAGCTACTATTTGAATTCCAACCTTATGAAAAAAAAAAAAAAAAACCGACGACGACTACGGCAAGAATCTTAAGACGGGTGAGTGGAGAAGTTAGCTCCAATGTTCATAGTCTTAAAAAGTAAAGCAACGGTTGAAAAAAGTTAGAAGGCAAAACTTTTCGCGAGTCAATCATATGTAAAGCATGAAACAGTATAAAAGCCTAAAATCCCATGTTTCTTTGACAAATCAACCGAGGAAGTTGTTATAATATGTGACCAAGTTCAATATCACAATTTTAAGCTATGCTTGTCGTGCCTGAAGCAATAACAGGAAAGGTTTAAATTTTGTCTTTGAAAGTCATGAAAAATGCATAGAAAGTCTAAATCATCAAGTTTTATGACATGCCAAGATAGCATAATTCTACCATTTAAGCAAATATAAAATGAAAAATTTTAAGCCCAGGTACATGAGCAAAAACTTGGCAGGTTTAAAAGTTTGTCCTATAACAGTTTTCTTGTAGCATATTCCTACTACGACCTCAATTAATATTAATAGCTAGGGATTGGATTTTTTTTCAAAAAGGAAATTCATGTCCTCAATAATGCTTAATTTAATCGCATTCAGACTCGTACATCTAACAAAGTTAAAGGCCATTTTGAGATTATGGCAGAAAGATTAAAGTTCTGCCCACATGAAAAAAAATATATATTTTGAGATGGATATTAGGCATTTAAAATTATTATAATTTAAAATTATAAAAAATTTATTAAAATTTTATGTAAAATTTCCTCTTATAAATAATGAACCCTTACTTAATTATTTATTATGATTAAATAATTATAAAATTATAATAAAAACAATTACAATTGATATACATCTCAAATAATTAACAGGCCATAATTATTGGCCTTTGAAAATTTTATAATTTGTTGTCTCGATCAAGAACTTTCCTTTTTTTTGGTAAATAAAATCTAACTAATGGGGGTAATAACAATTAAGAAGTGGCTCTATTTGAGGTTTGAAATAAAAGAGTTATAGGAATTTTTTTTCTTAATACGTAGGGTACAAAAAAGGTAAAAAAATTTGGAATCGATGAGTTTTGATTCGATTCAATTTTTTAAGATTAATTTTTTTTTTTGAAAATCGAGTGTTGGGTCGGATAAAATGAAAAAAAAAAAATTAAAGTCGGGTTGAGGTCGGGTTTTAAGCAAGTTCGACCCTATCCGATCCGATATATAAATAATTTTTTTAATTATTTATTTAATTTTATAATTATATATATTTTTATATATATTTAATTTTATATTTATATTAAAAATAATATTTTATTAATTTTAAATCGAATCAAATCGAATATAATTTTATACAATATCAAATCAAATTAAATCGAATCAAATTTGAAACGAACAAAATTTTATCTTGATTGGATCCGATATCATCACGCCAGAGAATGCAATTGGTCAACAGTGCATATCCATGAATAGAATTTTGGACGGTCCACTTTGAGAACGATTCTCGCCAATCTATTTTCTTCATCAACCCATGGTCCCCCGCCCCCTCCCCACCCAATTAGTTTCTACTATACGTATGCTAATGCTATCAAAGGCTACCTTACATCAGCTTTTGGTAATGATGGCTATCGAAAGCTACAATTAGAGGGACATAATTTAATTTTTATTTTTGATAGTTATATTTTTAATTTAGTCATTATACGTCTCTTAACATATTCTTTCTTTTTAAGCTTGGTTGAGATATTTTCATGTTTTATTTGAAATATTTTGGATGATTTTAAAGGTACATTTCTTATATTTATTTAGTAGTATTGATTTTATTTTCAAAATGTTTCTTATAAAAATTTTGATTTAAATTAAAAAAAAAACTTTACAAAATAGTGTCACCAAAAAGAATTATAAGAAGAATAAACTATATTAAAATGGAAAGAAAATTTTGTTTAAGCGGTTAGCAGTCAGCCCAGACAACAAACCACTCACAAAGACTTTCCCATAATTAGAGTGGACATCGGATTAGGTTCGAGGAGTGTTTTATTCGTTTCGAATTCGATTTAATTTTATGTGTTATCAAATTTGAATTTAATTTTATTTAATTTTTTTTATTTTTTCATACTCGAACTTGATTTTGACTCGATATTATATAAATTATACATGATCCAATCTCATTGAAAATTAATAAAATATTATTTTTAAAATATAAAATATTATTTTTTAAATATAAATATTTAAAAATATCATTATATAAATATAATTAATTAATTAATTAAAAATAATTTTTTATAATATCGGATCAGATCGATTCGAATTTATCTAAAATCCGATCTTGACTATTTTATAATTTTACTTGACTCGAAACTTAAATTTAAAAAAAAAAAATTAAATCTCATAAAATCGGATCAAATCAAAACCGTTAGTGATGGGTTAAATTACCAACCCTACCCATAACTCAATCCAAACCCACAAAGACAAACGCAAGTAAAAGAAGGGAACAGACAGAGAAACAGAAGTTGATTATCCCTTTTAGTAACCATTTGGATACCATCACATTTTTTATGTAATGCAATTAAATTCATCATATTTTTAATTAAATTTAAATGTTAATTTAATAAAATTAAATTAATATAAATTTTTTATTTATTTTATTAATTATATTTATAATAATTTTTTAATTATAATATTATTAATTTATTATTATTTTAATTTTATTATAATTAATTTTATCATTTATCCAAATAAAATTTTAATAATTTGGGCATATCTCAATCTCATATCGAGATTGCCCTTTCTTTCCATTTTGCCCTTTTTCTTTCTTTAGCTCAGGTTTCAGGCGGCAGCTCTAGTAAGGATTCAAGCGGACTCGAAATTTGGAACAATTTGTAACCCTTGACTTTAATTTATTATAATCAAAGTTCATGAATTTGCTGTTTAATATCTGTGTTGCAACAATCAAGACAAGTTTAATTTGTTCAAGTATATACCATGCAAACACCACAAGGATGAACTCAAAAATTAATAAAAAGTAAATTTAAAAATCATATGAAACGATTATAATTATTTATCTTAAGTTATTAAATACAATATAATTTATTTTAATTTAAAAAATTAAATAATTTATTTATATTAAATTTTATAAATAAAAAAATAAATTTAATAATTAATTTATATAATTTATATAATTATTTTTAAAATTTATAAATAACTTTAAATTTTAATATATATTTCCTTTTAGTGCGGCGTTCTTAATAAAACACAGTAGAGGCGTCTTGCACGAGAAAAGCATGTTCAAATAAATAAAAAACAAAGTGAAAGGAAAAAAATGCATAAATCACCACTATCATTACCATTCTCACTTACCAAGCCTAAATTCCAAAGCAATTCTCTCTTTACTTTGCTTTTCCAACCTACATTCTCACCTTTTCCCTCCTTCTGCCATTTGCTTCTTTCCTTCCCCCCTCATGTCTCCTTTCTCAAGTTTCTCCCTTCTTTCTTTCTCTCTCCCACAATCACAAGAGTGCACTTATCTTTCATTATATTGTTGTATATTTTATATGTACATGGCAAAGGGGTCCAAAATCTTCTTCTTTTCTACAAGATCATTGATTTTGCCGTAGTTTATCATATCCCTTGCTTTTCTTTGTCCCAACAACAGCAGAAAAACATTGAAGAAGAGCCTGGAAGTTATAGGGGCCTCATAGAAATGGGTACAAGTGAAATTTTGATCAAAATATTCCTCCTATTCTGCGTCTTAATCTGTCCAGGTGACTTGGTTTTCCTTCTTTTCCTGTCATGTTCTTGGCTTCATCGTTCTTTTCAACTAGATTCTTCTCCCTCTGCTGGTTTATGAGGTCTCAACTAATTCCACACCAATTACTTTTTTTTTTCTTTCTTTGCATGATTTGACATGTTAATGTTCAATTGTTCATGTTCATATTTCAAAGTCACTGTAACTTTGAATTGTGGGATCAGTTTCCAGCTGTGAATTTGTCATGTCAAAATTAATGATGCCTTACATGTTGCACATGGAATTTTCAAAGCTTTCCCATGTGGGCAATGCCTCTCTTTTTCAAAATCAGCAGTACTGTTCTTTGTCTACAAGGAATTATTATTTTAGGATACAGTACTACTACTCATTGCGTGTTCTTTCAAAATTTTAATCATTTTTCTTCAACTTTGAAGATCTACATTTTCTTTTTTGTCATTATTTATTGCATGCAAAACAGTCAAATCTTTGCCTGCCTGTCTTCCAAACGAAGCTGTTTCATTCTTACCAAATCATAATATAGTTTTCATTTAAACAGTCTGTCTTGCCTGAACATGTTTTGAATATTAAGGCAACAATTTCTTTAATGTTAGTTCTTAATTCATTCTAAATCTTGATTCAGGTCCAAGTGATACAAGGAAGGTTGATATTTCCAGTGACCAAAAGGACATTACCACTCCAATAACAACGGTGCCTACAATAATTCCAACCAATCCTACTTCATCCAGTCCAGTGTTTAATCCTAATTCGAACCCGGATTTGACATCTCCGGGAACATTGACTCCGATGACAGTTCCAACGACAATGACAACTCCGGTATCTTCAGGGGGCAGTTGGTGTGTGGCTAGCCAAAGTGCATCACAAACTGCATTACAAGTTGCTCTAGACTATGCATGTGGCTATGGTGGTGCTGACTGTGCTCCAATTCAGCCTGGAGGAGGCTGTTACAATCCTAACACTGTTCATGCTCATGCTTCTTATGCATTTAACAGCTATTACCAGAAGAATCCAGTTCCTAGTAGCTGTAATTTTGAAGGGACTGCTGTTGCTACCAGCATTGATCCAAGTAAGTTCATGTCTTATATCTTACTTTTGAGTCCTGACTAAATAAATTAGCTGGGCCTGGTTTGCCCTTTCCAAATACACTGCCTTGCTGAGTTAGTCGCTGAGTGCGCTATGTTGTCTAGATTCATATAAGATTTTACCAATTTTATTTTGCTAGCTAGATGTAATGGCAATTGGTTTATAAATTTCATAGGGCTCAGATTTGGATAGTTGTCGTTTATGTTTTGAATGGATTAAATTCGGATGATTAAAAATTACGAAAGTTCATAGGGATTGCAATGGATGCTATGACTGAATCCATATTTAAATATGTTACTAGTTTATAAATGCAAAATGTGTAAAATTTTATATTTATGGAAGGGTTTGAACTTTAACAAATAATTTTTATTTGTTATTAATTAAGAGTGAATTTGAATTTTAAATTTACTTCTCATTTATTTTATATTTTAATAAAAAAATTTAGGTAATCAGATATTTGTAGTAACTAAAAAGTCTCCTCGGAGATTAGTCTCTCTGTAGGAGAAGTCTAGTCTTGTTTCGCATACAAGAGTTTTATTGCCTCAGGATTATCAGTTCAACTGGCCTTTGAGGATTGAGTATAGTGAACTAGCATAGGTACGGTGAAAAGAAGGGTAGGGATGGAAGACGATCTGGGCAAGTTGTGGGCGTAGTTAAGAATAACAGAGGAGGAAAGGGACTGTATAGTGACAAATGAAGATGAGGGATCAAAGGAGAGGACAGTGGGGGAAATTGGCTGGGAGGGAAACTCCTAACGAAACGATCATTCAACAAGAAGGCTCTAAAAGGAACGATTAAGCTGATATGGAAATTGGCTAGAGAAGTTGAAATAGTGGATCTGGAGGATGACTAACTACTTTTCAAATTTTCAACAACGTGAGGAGACAAGAGCAGAGTTCTTGAAGGGGCTCCATGGTCCTTCGACAAACAACTAATAGTTTTCTAGGAGTGCTAAGGGTGATCTAAGGCCAAAGGAGTACTATTTCTACAAAGCATAGTTTTGGGTGAAGGTATATGGTCAGCCCCTTGGCATGAGAAACCAGGAAAATGGATGTAAGATAGGAGAGAAGGTGGGATCACTCGTAGCGGTGGATGCAACCCTGGAGAACGGAGGATGGCCAAGATTTCTGCGAGTCCTGGTAGAAATCGACATTAAAAAGGCCCCTCAGAAGGGCGGTGTTGTTAAATGTGGGAAATCCCAAAAGAGAGTTCTAGGGTAAACTCTGCTTTGAAAGACTGCCCGTGTTTTGTTATGTGTGTGGCACAATGGGGCATACGGAGGAAGAATGCGAAAACTACGAGCGGCTGGGGGACAACGACCAACACAGCGAGACAATATGGTGACTGGATGCGGGCTTCCCCATTAAAACAAATAACGCTTGAATGGGGAAAAAGAAATGGCAATTCTAGAATAAAAATGAGTTTGGAAGGAAAACACGAGAACAAAAAGGTAGATAGCGCAGATTACGGGGGAAGGGTCTCTCAAAAACTGTAAATGACCGAATATAAGAACAAATATTCCTTGAACGATCAACGCTTAATGGTATGAACGGTAAGGAATTCAGTTTTCCTTATGTTTTTTATTTTGAATTTTATGAATAAAAAAAATAAATTTAAAAGATATAAGATCTGATCCGATTTCATTTTTTTTATGATATTTGATTTAGTTTAATTTTAAATTAATTAAGATTTAAAATGCTCTTTAAATATTAAAAAATTTCAGACAAAATTAAAAAAAAAAAAAATCCTAGCATGAATCTCGGAATGAATGTGATCTTAATTCTATAATATCAGAAAAATCTAATTATGTTACGCGAAACTGTAGGGATAACGTCAATAAAGGAATCACAAAAGGGATAGAACTCATTGGAGGCAAAAAATCTAGGCCCGAGTATGAAGATTTCACAGGTATTAAGGGACAGGACCCTTACGGAAAGCCTACACAATAGGAAGCTGATGTAGGGGCCACACGGGTCGACGTAATGGGACGAGTGGTGACCAAGTTGGCTACAGCTAAAACCCATATTGTTGCTGCAAAGGGGCTGGAGTTGGAAAATACACGAAATGGTGATGGGACATAACTGGGTGAAAATTGCAACAACTCGTGCCAAATGGGTGAAACAAAAATCCCATGCAAGCAACACCATTACATGGGACCCCATATCTACGGAAAGGAAATTTTAAGAGCAACAAACGGGGAACCAAAAAATGAAAGGGACCACGAGGGGAAAGAAAAGGGCTTCAAATGCACCAACATCCAGAGGCCACAACAGGCAAAGTGGAAAAAGATGACTCGTTCACTGGTAAGAAATAAGGGGGTATGGAATTTGAGCTAGGCAAAAGGAAACAAGGGACAGATGAAACAGTGGACATGGTGATTGACAGCACCCACGAGAAATCCAGACATGAGGAAAGGGCAAGGATGGAAGGCAACAACCATCAAACGACAGCGATTGGGTACCATTCCCACCGAGAATAATGAAGTGCATAACTTGGAACTGTCGTGGGCTTTTGAACCCACGAGCAGTTCGAGCTCTTCAGAAAATGCTGAAGAGAGAAGATCCTAAGGTGGTTTTTCTGAGCGAAACTATCTTGCCAGCACAGAGTTTAGAAAAAATCAAAATGAGGTATAACATGGATGGTATGATTGGAGTGGATGCAAGGGGACACAGTGGAGGTCTTACTTTGTTTTGGAAAGAAGAGGTAACCCTGAGCCTGTTGAGTTTCTCAAAATATCATATCGATGCAGATGTTGTTGACGAGAACGGAAATGAGTGGAGGATAACTGAGTTCAATGGGGATCCAGATGCTAATGCGAGACATAACGCATAAGCTGTTTTAAGGGGTGTAGCCATAGTCAACAACAAACCATGGTTATGTGTCGGTCACATTAATGAAATAATGTGGAATGAGGAAAAACACAAGGGCAACCAAAGACTGGAATGGCAGATGTAAAGTTTTCTGGAGTTCTTAGAAGAGGCACACTTGACTGACTTAGGCTTTAAAGGACCGAAATTTACTTGGAAGAGGGGCAGGGACGCACGAACAAAGACAGAAGTGAGGTTCGATAGGGGGTTGCAAATCCAAGCTAGTGGAGGTTGTTTCCAAATTAGGAGTTGTACCGTAGAACGTCACCAATTTCGGACCACTACCCAAATGTGCTCAATACGGGACGGAACTATCAAAGACGATCCGGTACGAGGAAAAGGCATGGGAAAATGTTTGAAGCCATGTGGGCTAAGGACACGGGTTGCAAGGAAATTGTTGAAGTGTGGGAAGATGGGAGGAGCAATGGTATTCAAGGAAAAATGGAAAATGTTCTAGGCAGATTAGTGGGATGGAGCAAAAGACATTTAAGTGGGACCCACGAGGAGATTGAAGCCCTTAACAAAGGGTTGGAAGCCATCAAGGCTAATGTTATGGACTAGACAGTGGCAATCGAAAAGAACAGATCAAACAGAAAATGAATGAACTATTGGAGAAAGAAGAATTGTTTTGGCTTTAACGATTAAGAATAAATTGGTTATGAGAAGGGGACAAGAATATTGTGTTTTTTCACGCACAAGCTTCACAAGGAAAGAAGAAAAACTACATAAGGGGAGTGGAGGGCGAAAATGGGACGTAGGTTGAAGGCATAGAGGAGATGCATTCACATGCCGTGGAGTACTTTGTGGAGTTATTCAAATCCCAAAAACTAGTAAATATTGATGAAATCATGAATGCTGTTAATCCTCGTGTGATGGACGAAATGAATAGATTCCTACTTGCAGAGTTTAAAGCTGAGGAGATGCATGATGCAATAAGACAAATTCAGCCCACAAAAGCTTGGGACCTGATGGTATGCCCGCACTTCTCTTTCAAAAATTTTGGCATATTATAGGTCGTGATGCAACTACTTTCTACCTATTTAGACTAAATGGGGAGGGGAGTTTAGATGATATCAATGACACCAACATAGTTCTCATCCCTTAAGTAAAAGATCCGAAACGAATGACCTAATTTCGGCCTATTAGCCTTTGCAATGTTCTGTATAAGATTATAGCTGAGACCATTGCAAACAGGTTAAAACACATCCTACCTTCCTGCATTAGCAAAAACCAAGGCACATTTGTTCATGGTAGACTTATAACTGATAATGCACTACTCATAGCCTATGAGATTCTGCATACTCTAAAACTTAAGAAAAAGGGAAGGGAGGGGTGTGGAGCTATTAAACTTGACATGAGCAAGGCTTACGACCGGGTTGAATGGAGATTTAATGGAGATTTCTACAGGCAATGATGGTGAGACTAGGTTTCATTGAGAAATGGGTGTTTTTGTACTTGTACTGTATAACTTCTGTCACCTACAAAGTGGTTATTAATGGTATAGTTACTGACCCTATTGTTCTAGGAAAGGGCTTTAGACAAGGCAATCCCGTTTCCCTTTATTTGTTCCTTATCTGTGCAGAAGGATTATCTGCATTTTTATCACAAGATCATCAAGAAGGCAAACTGAAAAGTTTTAGAGCTAGTGTGAATGGCCCAAAGATCACTCACGTTTTTTTTGAGGACGATAGTTTGCTGTTCATCAAGGCAAACCAGGGAGAATGCGAAAGAGTAAGGCACCTGTTAAAGACTTTTGAGGAGGGGTCCGGGTAGAAAATAAACTATTACAAATCTAGTTTGTTTTTTAGTCGAAACACTAGAGCTGATAAAATGGAGATGATCAAACAGATATTCAAGATCAGAATGACAAGCAGCCCAGAGAAATATCTAGGCTTTCAAATGATAACAGGGAGAAATAGGAGGAAAGTTTTTTGGGACATAGTGGACAAAATGGAAAAGAGGATACAAAGTTGGAGCAATAGATGGATCTCCTAAGGTGGCAAAGAAGTGTTCATAAAATCTGTTCTGCAATCATTATCTGCATATGGGATGTCCTGTTTTCTGTTCCCATAAAGTCTATGTTAGAAACTAAACAGGAAAATATACAATTACTGTTGGAAACAGAAGTCAACGATTTAAGGCATACGCTAGGTGAGGTGGAAACAACTGTGTACAAACAAACTTGAAAATGGACTGGGTTTCCAGGATTTGAGCTCTTTAATAAAGAGTTAATCACAAAACATGGAGGCTTATGCACAAAACAACATCCCTGGTACATAAAGTTTTTGAAAGCAAAATACTTCCCCAACACGTCCTTCATGGCAGCAGAATCGGGGAGCACACCATCGTATTCATGGAGAAGCATATGGTCATGCAGAGAGGTTGCACACCATGGAATGAGATGGAGGGGGGGAAACGGCATGACTATCAGCATATGGAATGACAACTGGGTCCCAAATATCAAGGGATTCAAACCAACCCCACGTAAAACAATTGTTACGGGAAATGGCGCGGTACATGACTTGATAGATTGAGCTTCACATATGAGATGAAAGGAAGGCGGACGAGTTGTTCTCAGCCCAAACAGCAAAGGAGGTTAAAACTATCTTGATTAGCATGTACTAATGGCCAGATGTAGAGGTGTGGCACTTCACAGTGGACGGCCAATATACCGTAAAGAGTGGGTATCACTTGTTACGTAGTATCGATTGGGATGGTGAGAGTACCCTAGAAGCGACCGATGAATATGAACAAAGGAGCAACAAAAGTATCTAGTCTAGATTGTGGAAGGCTCGAGTCCCAAACAAGGTTAGAATTTTTGGTTGGTGACTCATCCGAGAACCGTTGCCAGCCTATGGGACTTTAAAAAAGAAGAGGATCATGGACAATGCAACGTGCCCAAGATGTAACCAACAAGAGGAGACTGTCATGTATACGATAAAATAATGCCAATCAGTCACATATGCATGGAAGAACACAAATATTGAACATATATGCAGAGTGGCCCTCACCAAAATTCAGAGGCATGGATTTGCTCCACCATGGGGAATATGGGGTACAACAAATTTGAACTGTGGTTTATTATGTGCTGGGTGCTTTGGAAGAACAGAAATGAGGTAGTGAAGAAGCACGTTGATAGACTACAGCAGAATATAACGGTCTATGCCAAAAACTATCTGGAGTACTAGAGGGCCCAAGAAAGGCAAAACAACATGGAAAAAAAGGAGAGGGTGAAATGGACAGCACCCAGTGGAGACCGGTTCAAAGTAAAATTTGATGGTGTCATGAATGCTGCAAGGAAGGAAGGAGGAATCGGAGCTGTAATCAGGGATACTTCTGGGAGTGTCCTCGGTGCAATGTCAATGGCTGTCAAGCATATCAATGATCCCATACACGTCAAAGGATTGGCAGCTGCGAAAGCTATAGAATTTGCTACCGATATAGGTATCAGTAGGATAGAGCTAAAGGGGGACGCTCTGAATATAATCAAACTGTTTCAGCATGATGGAACAGACATGTCGCACGTAGGCAACCCGATCGTAGAAGCAAAACTGAAATTGAGAACAATGGAGGATATAGTGTGCGTTTATACCAGGAGAGAAGCGAATGAGTGACCCACACACTAGCAAACCTTGCGGTAGAAAGTGGTGATACTAAATATTGGGTGGAGGAATGTCCAGAACAAATTGCTTTAATTATTGAGAGGGAATGAAATCATTCAACAGATTAATGAAAAGCTACCTTGATTAAAAGAAAAATAGTAATAAGATATTTTAATAGATTCAGATATTTATAGGATAATGTATATTAGAATATAGTTCAGATAATGATATTAAATTTATTAAGATATTTTAAATCGTTTCGAATATCAAATCACTAAGATTCAGAGAAAAATACTTAAAATATAATAGATGTCAGCTTTGTGGTCATTTTTATATGTTTATTTATGAATTAGTACATATGTTTTACAGGAGGACAATAAATTTTGGGGATTTATTAATCTTGGCCATGATTTCAGGTAGTGGGACATGTCAATATCAATCCACAAGGTAAAGTTTACTTCCTATCTCTCCTAACTACCTAATTGCTTTCATTTTCATTTTGTATCAAATCATTAAATCAATGACAATGGTGAAATTGCAGCACAAATTCTTCCATCCTAAACACTACCAATTCAAATGGTTCAAATATTTTTGGAGCTGTACCTTCAGACCCTTATCCATCGACAGCCTCCGTCACCAAATTAAATTCCAAGCAGCTTTTTTTCTTCACCATGGCATGCCTCATTTTACTGGCCAGATACTATCAATAGAATAGATAAACAGATGGAGACTCCATAATCCTTTTTTTATTTCTTATTTCTTATTTCAGATCACTGAAATTCTCTTGGTTGTCACAAGGATTTTAATTTATCATGAAAACTAGGGTGAACCAACTGTTTGGGGAGAACTGCTAATTGGCTGAAAGGCTCATGAATCCCGAGGAGATCAGTTCTGAGGTCGTGCTTGTATATATCTTTTGGTGTGTAGATGAAGTGTTGGTGAATGATGAATAGCTAACATTTAGAAAAAAAAAAAAAAATCAAAAGAAAGGAAGTACCATATATTTTTTTCATTGATTTTAATGGGGTTTTGAAGTGGTGCTAAAACTGAGTTAAAGGATAGGAATCTTTCTTTCACTTTGTAGTTTTAGAAGTATTTGTATTTAGCCAACACTTATGTGGCATATAATTTATTAATAACGTATTGAATTTTTAGTTTTAATAATCAGAATTTAAATTTTAAAAATTTTAATTATAAAAAAATTGCTTGTATTTCTCATGTTATAGTACGAAATTAAAGCTTTAGCTCTTGAATAAATCATCTATAATATTATATTATAACATTCATGTAAATCTAATAAATTTTATTTACGTGAATATTTAGGTGAATAATTTTTTTAGATGACACATAAGATAATAATAAATAATTATAATATATATTATCAATATAATTAAATATCAAAAGCTTTTAAATGAAATCATTAAATAATAATAAATATTCAAATATTCATTTGAAAATAGAGAAAAGGATATATAATTATTTATTTTATTTAATATTATTCAAATTCAATAAAATATTCAAATTTGTTTAAATTGATAAGAGTATACATGAATTATTATTTAAAAATTTTGGTTTTAGGACTTAAAATTATCCATTTTAATACATTTTTTAAAAATATCCAATTAAATAAGTAGATAAAAATATATATTTAAATAAATAGATAAAATCATATTCAATTATTTATATTTTAAAATATTTGATGTAGAATTGAAAATATAATATATTTTTGCTATTCTATTTTATCTAAAACTCTTTTCTTCACCTCTTCCATTCCTGATTGCTTCAAACTCTTCATCTAAAAGTATTTTTTTATTAAGTTTTTTTTTTCAAAATTCTATTTCCTCCCTTAAATTTCCCTATTCTTATTTTCTTTTTGCAATGATTTAGATGATCAAAATAAATAAATAATGGATGCTTTCATAAAAAAAAAAAAAGCATTTTTTTTGTTTCATTGGGTACCTGATTTAAATTTTAAAAGGGTTTCATTTCTTGATTTTCATGTAAGTTTTTGTTAATATATATAAATTCTATTGCTATTACTTTAAACTCTATTCTATTACGGTGATAAAAATTTTAAATTGAAGTTTTCTTATCAATTTTTTTAATAAATGGAAATTTCTAATCATAGAATGCATGTACACGTGGAGAAGATAAATGTTTAAAGGATTGAGAAATGCTTTAGAATCTAATGAACTTTTTCCAATTTGACTTCCTAAATCAATTTTTATCTTCAATTTAAAATTCTTCTATTTTTTTTATCGACTTCATTATTAAATTTTAGTTACACTTTATCTTAATTATCAATTTTTTTATAGTTTCTTGGGATCTATAAATACTTACTACATTTGAATTTTGTGTAAACCTTTTTATATAGCAAATTTCTCTTTTTAATTAATTAAACAACCAAATTTTATTAAATGAATTTAATTAAATTTTCAATATTTAAATATTTATTAATATACTTTTTTAAAATTAAAATGGAGGTAAAAAGTTATTGAAAATTTTTGTTGATAAATTATTTTTTTATTTTGAATTTTTAATTTATAAAATTAAAAATTAAATTAAAGATTTTAACATTAAATATATAAATTTAATGTAAAAATAAAAAAGATAGAAAATACAAATATTTAGTGGTAAAAACAAAATTTTGAATATATAAAAATTCTATATAAATTTTTAATGAATTAAATTAAATATTATCTTAAATATAAAAATTATGTGCATTTGCATGGATAAAAAACTAGTTACATCTATTTTATGCACCCCCTTCATGTAGGAGCACTACAGCCTTTCCATACCTGTAATACTTGTTAAAAAAAAAGACTATTTTAAGTATTTTTATAAGTGAAAGAACTCTTTAATCAAGAATGAGAAATGTAGAGTACCTATTGATAAATAACCTAATTTGTTTGATAGGGTTAACTTATTTTATAGTTTTGGTCGATGACTAAGGAAAGAAAAATACAAGCTTATTTCTTCTATGTTTCTTATACAGAAAAGACATTGAAAGATTCCAAGTGAAAGGTAATAACAAAATCTGCAAGGAGAATTATCTATCATAGATGAGTAAATAATTTTTTTTCAATTTTGAAGTATTAATTGTTAAGTTTTGAGGTGTAATTTGTAATCGAGAAACCCTAAAATTTTAAGGTTTCCATTATCCTTCTTCAAGATTAGTTTGGACAAATAATGGTCTAATTAAATGTTGAGAAAGTTGATAATATGATTTTATTGTTGTAAATATAAGAAACAGAAATTTGATGGGAATATAAAGGAAAATTTTTATTTCATATGAACCCTGATATGAATCCTGGTGTTTGTAGTGATGGATTAAGGTAATATTTTATATTAAAGGATTAAATACTGCTATTATTATATATCATTGGAAAGCTTGCTGAATTTACTTTCCAATGAAATAAACGAAAGTTAATTCTGAGTTTTCTATGATGAGTAATTTAATATTTGCTTATGGATGTGCAAGCTGCCTAGTAACAGCAGCATGAAGGAATTACGAAATTCTTCTTAATTTTTATACAAGGATTTACAGATTAAGCCATATATGTTTAAAAGCTTATTGAGTCTATTTTCGAACAAAATAAGCGAAATTGAATTTGGAGTTTCCTATGAATAAATACGTAATTTTTATTAGAAGGTATATAGGCTATTTGGCCGCAATATATGACGTGGATTTCAAAAATTATTACAATTAATCAACAAGGAATCACGAGATGGGTCATATATGGTTAGAAAGCTTATCGAGTCTAGTTTCTAATGCATTAAAGAGATTTTAATTTTGAGTTGGATATCTTGAGATATGGTCATTTTAGTAAAAATAACGCAGGCCACCAAAATTAGTTACTTAAGTTAATTATTATTTAACTTAATTGTTTTAGTAAAAGTGGCCTCAAATGGGTTGATTAATTACTATTATATTAAAATTATCTTGAATAGGTCATTAATTATTTGGGGAAAAAATTAAGTGGTGGAATAAGAATGAGGTAAATAGAATTTCACACATTTTGCTTATTTTTGAATCTATATATATGTATGTTTCTAAATATATGAATGTTTTATTTCATTATTTTCAATGTATGAAAATAGGATCAAGCATATGATTATTTTGTGTTTCTTTATATAAACGATGGATCATGCTTATGAATGAAATAAAAAAATAATTTATGTTTAAAGAATGATTTTATGATATCTACATTTTTACATCCCTAAAAAGTGAAATTATCGACACCAGAACTAATTCTACAGCTCTAGCTAACGGGTAATAGTAGTTAGCATAGATATGATTATACGACCCTGCTAACAAGTTATAGCAGTTAGCGTAAAGCCTTGGCTAACGAGTTATAATAGTTAGCAATGATGATGAGATGAAATTGTCAATACGACCAATATCACGGGTTTTAACAATGACCATAACTAACGATAAATGAATGATAATGATATTTATGATGAATTTTTTTTACAAATTGATGCATGATTTGGTGACATGTTTAATATTGATTTACGATCTATGAATGCTTGATAAAATGCTGATTTTTGAATTATTTTTTACATTCTAAGTTGATGAATATTTTTGGAATGATCTATATAGTACGTATGAAAATAATATTTGATCCGGTAAGGTGTGTGAGCCTATACTTACTGAGCTAAGGTTTACTCATTTCACATTTTCTTTTCTTTTACAGATAATATGAATGATAAGTATGATTAGTCTTGTAAGAAGCTAGAAGATCAAAATGAGAAAAATTACTTAGTCATCAGAGACAATGTTGGCCAATGAGATATTATTACTGGTTTTGTATTTTATATAGTTTGTATTTGGATATGTAAAGATGTTTCATTAGTTGGATTAAAGATATGGATTTTACTTGGTAGATTATTTTATTTAGAATAGTTAAGAAAGAAGGCTTCGTATTACTTTAGGGTTTTACTTTAAGGTAATCTGGTTGTATTATGTCTTGGTCTCGAGGCATGACATAAAGTGGTATCAGAACCAAGGTTTAAAATTTGAGAAAGGAAAGAATCGAGTTATAGTTAATGTAAAACTTAAGTATTTTTAGCATTTATGCTAATAAGATTTGATTATTTCATTTTGATCATTTATGAACTATTTTTGTTGATACTAATTTAGGTGAGAATGAGTGGTAGAAATGAGACATTGGCAAACTTTGCAAGTAAAAAAAAATGAACTGACAAAATAAGGGATGAATCTGAAACCACCAATGTTCGAGATGAGCAAATTAATATTGGAAACGGTCTTAATGCTTCTGTGACGCAAGATGATTTAGCTGGGTGTGTCAAGTGGTGGTGTTTAATTTGATACAACAACAGCAGTAGACACAAGAAAATCTACAACAATGTGAGATAATTTATGAATGATTTCAAAGGTTAACCCACTCAATTTGAAGGCGAACCTGATCCTTTGGTTATAGAAGCTTT